TTGTTGATTAAGACTATCTGAATTTATTTCCGCATTAATAGCTAAGCCACAATATGATTTTTCCTCAAATTTATCGAAACTCCCTACAACAATGTACCTGAAAACAGTCTCTTGAAACAGCCATTTTTCGCATGGCGATCGAAATTTATTGGGTCTTAATAATTCAAAAAAGAGCTCGCACCCAATAAGCATATCTATTTCTCCTGGTTTACCAAAATCTTTATCCGCGAGATCAATGTTCGAAGGAATGTTTACTTTAGTTGCATCCATGCGATGGATAGATGTTGTGGTAATATACGAGGCGATTAATAGTTCTAACGGCGCTGAAAAGTCTCCATTTTTATTTTGAATCACCGTACTTACTTTTTGTTTAACTCTAAGGGTTATTTCACCTAACCCCGAAATAGACGAGTTTATTTTTTATTTTTTCAGAGGGAGTTTATTAGCCAGCCGTTTTCGAATGAAGGAAAGATGAGATCCTGAGTCTAAAATCGCTTTGCAGGGGAAAAGCTGATTCTCTGCCCCCTGAGGTAAACTATTGCAGTCGGGAGTAAAATATTTTTCTTTTCTCCCACACAGTTCGAAAACGTATAAGAGTGATCTGGGGTTGTTGACCCTTGCAAATCCGGTAGGGGTTTCAGTTCGTTAGCTAATGTCGTGGAGAGGGGTAAAGGAATCGCTTCAAATATATGTAACGATGTATGATGACGTTTTTTACAAACGGAACAAGAGTTTTTCGATTTACAATCCTTAATTTTATGATGTTCCTTTAAACAATTGATGCACAAATTAAGGCGTTTTATTTGATTAAATCTATCGGATACTTTCATATTTTGATAAGCGCTGCACTTATAAATCAAATGAGGCAGTTTACAGATTGCACAATAATTTGATGAATCATTCGAATTAAGAAATATTTTACCTTTATGGAAGGGTACTTGTTTTGGTTTATGAGTAATAGGAGCAGAACGATTAATACTATCTATAGTTTGGCTTCTTTTTCTAAAAAACATTATAAATGTATCTAATTCAGGAATTTGATTTGAATCAATGGATTGTTCAAATTGTTTACGAGTTTCTCGATCTATTTTTTTCAGAATGATATTAAGCAATATAAGATCCGATAAATTATTGCGTTCAAAACCTAAGAGTTTTAAAGCTCTGATTGATTGATTGAATATCTGTCATGGTTCTAATATCTCGAGCTGATTCGCTTGTAACTTTTCTATTTTTAATATAGCATTAATATGAGTCTCAGTAAGGAGACGTTTATTTTCAAATCTAGTTTTTAATGCTGTGATGAGCGATTCAAAGGAATCATCAACTGCTTCAAGTAGTTTGGCATCACCTTGTAATGACGCTTTCAAATAATAAAGTTTTTGTGACTCGCTCAAATCATTGTTATTACTTATAATGTTATCAAATTATGATTTAAAGCTAGGCTATTCGTCGTATCTACCTCTAAATACCGGTAAAGGTATTTCCGGCAGTTTTATTTCTAATTTCAGTTTAGAATTAGTTTGAGATATTGCATTTTCATGATTATGAACAGAACTAACAGAAGATTTAGCAATTAAAGAATTGAGAATATCTCTAATTCTTACCTCCAGCTCCTCTAGTCTGTCCTCCATACTTTGTATGTCAGATTCTATCACTTGTAGTCCCGATTCACTAATATCCTTGATATCATAGTACTGATCCTTTAATTCATCAATCTTTCTGTTCATTTCTTGGACACGTTTCAGTTTAATATCAAGTTTTGTCGGAGTATGATTCCCTGATTCTTCTACGAAAGTTTCTATCTTAGTTATGGTGTCTTTGATTGCACGCTTCAAATTATTAAGTTTATCCATTTTTTTTCCGGTTAGACGCTCCAAAAATGTAGTGTTGTTTTACAAATGTTCGTTGTCAAATGCTGGTTCGTGTTTTAACTAAAACGTTGCGACTTTTGGACTGTAAATTGGTTTTATTACGAGATGGTGCTATTCGCATGCTGTTCCAAGATGGAAGCTACAACAACAACTGAAGCGGAGGGTTACATCAAAACATTGGTGGAGGTGCTCAGTCGGCGGATGGCATTCGAGACAAAAAATAGATACAATTACGGACTGAACAGTAATTAACTAAAAGGAAACAAAACAATTTTCGAAATACAGTAGAATCTGTTTCTGTGCGGTCCATTTTTATGCGATTTTACTTTTGTGCGACCGCATAAAAAATGTCTGCGCTACTTCAACGATTTAGCTTTTTATGTGTAAGAATTCATGAAATTTTCAAATTTTTTTTGTACGGTTATTTTTATGCGATTTTTAGTAACCACACAAAAACAGGTTCAAATGTATCGGATCGTAGTAATGTTATTTTAGTTCAATGTGCGCGAAAAAATGCTTAGTTTTTCTTTTAAACTAAGACATTTCATGGTGTTTGGTTCTTATTTATTCGTGTGAAACCACTTATGCAACAATCAAAAACCGTCGTAATAATTCTTAAGTGTAAAATCCTAGGAGAGCCCACACCCTTGGCGACTAACCGAAAAAAGCGCCAAGTCAGAACAAGATGGTGCCAAGCGAACCCGACAATGGCGGCAAAGGAATATAGCATGATGAGGAGGAGGATGTGTAATGAAAATATATGTAAACAATACAGAAATTAAACATTTGAGATAAAAAAATATAAAAACAGCACTTACTTTCTTACTGCTGATCTTTTTCGAGTGGAGGGTACAGTGTACCAGATTTTAAAAAAGCCTTAAAGGTCCCGTCGCTAAACGAATGATCGTGTTAGTGCTGCCATATTTATTCTGCGAGATAATGGTCGAACGTACATTCGTCGTGGCTAGTACGATTTCGAAGAAAGCGTTTTATTGCCGACCATGTTACATCATGCCGATCATTACACTTACGACATTCATAACTTGAAGTAATCAATCCTTCTTCCATACACCATGCAATCAATTCTTTCTTACATTTCGCATTCAACACAGTAAAAAATTCCAAAGTATATTCCCGCACACACGCACGAACCCAACAACAAAATGGAATTCGAAATGCGCGCCCACAAAATACGAAAATGCTAGAAATAGTTAGGGTTGCGATATGTAGTGTTTAAACGTAGGGTTACCAAGATGGCGCAATTATCGCCAACCAAAGTAATTCCCGCCAAGGGTGTGGGCTCTCCTAGGAGTGAACCTTCTTAAGATTATTATGAAAAAATGTTCTCTGTTGCACACATGTTTAAACACAGTAACCTTATTTATAAATGAAGCTCTTTGTTTTGTTTTTATTAATGAGAGGAGTGATGAAAATCAATTTTGTTATACTAACAAGTCGTTTATATTTATTTAATAATAATAATTAACACTAGAATGACAATTTTTATTGTATTTTTGATTTTTGTACTTCATAGTTTTGTTTTTGATTCAAAACTTGAAGTTAACTTACTTTTTCATTTGTGTGTTTTATTGGAATGAAATTTCTTAAGACTTTTGATTTCGCTATAACGACGTGCACACATTGCCTTGATTTATATTAATTCAAAATTTCGTATAACACAATTACGATACAACTCGGTACATGTATAATTAAGTTAATAAATAAATAAAATAATATAAATAAATAAAAATCGTTTAACTCGGTTTCGATATAGAACGGTATGAATTAACCGTGTTGTATGAGGGATATATATATCTTGTTCAAATTTTTAATCGTTAATAAAATACTTTTTTTTCATCCACTCAAGTTCACATACATTTTTTTAAAACTTGTAGTGGATAACACTTGCTGTTAATCCATTTTTAAATACTAATTCATTAATTCTTTTTAATTACTGAATAAATAGTAACAAACAAAAATAGTCCAGCACCCTATATAGAAAAAAAAATGGAAAACTGCGAGGAAAATCGCTTTCTATTTTATGACTTAATATTGTGATTCTGTCATATGCATATATATATTTATATTACTTGAAATTATTTAATAAAAAGTTACAAAAATAAAATTTTTCTTTGTAGACCTAAGTAGGAATTGACTTAATTTTTTTTATATTACTTGTTTTTCACAACTATGACACCATTTCGAAAGAATTATCACTTTTACCCTTTAAAATTTAAAAAAAAATACCTCTGCCATTATTAACACTTTCTTTCTTTGAATGACAAACCTACGAATATATATAGACTCGCAAAACTTTACAAGACTCTTCTAAACTTAAATATTTTCTTAAACCATCTTTTACTAAAATGATTCCCCATGTTTTCTTACCCCATAACGATTCCCATGCAAATAACTAGATGCTCTTGGCGAGATATTGAATTACCAGGGCCCATTGTCTTTTCCGGCCAAGAGTAATGTTGATGTCCTCTAATTTCACAGTCATCATCATTACCAGGAAGAGGGAATTGCTTCCCTTTCCACAGAAGCAATGGAGATTTCACTGATTTCTCGTAATAATAAGACACTTAGGACTGTGAAAAACGCTGTGCATCATAATATATCAAGAAAACCAAATGCCTCTATGCTAGCTTTCGAAGTTCGTAATCATTGGGAATTGATGACTGCAATGTTTACTCTTTGGAATGATTTGGAGTGTTTTGAATCAAACTTAAAGATTTCGCAAAATAGTTATTAAGAAATGGAGAATTTTCAGAAGTACAAGACCCAAATGCATTTTTGAATAGGCCGACACAGAACCTTTTTTTTTCAATTCCTACTATTAGTTCACTCTCTCCCTATATATATATATATATATATATATATATATATATATATATATATATATATATATATATAATATCTTGTTCAAACTTTCAATTGTTAATAAAATACTTTCAACTCACCCCTTCAAGTCCAAATACATTTTTTAAAACTTGTAGTTGATGACACTATATGTTAGCACAGTTTTTTTCAAACATGACTTCATTAATTAAATTAAAAAATTAATAAATAGTAACAAGCAAAAATAATAGTCCAACAGCCTATACAGAAAGCAAAATCATCCACTGTGTCTTTGTAGCGTAATAGATAGCGTGTTGGACTTCTAATCAAAATGTCGTGGGTTCGAATCCCACCTAGGACGGCCTAGTTTTTGAGAATGATTTATTTTTACTATACTATTTTATTAGAATAATTAAATTTATTTAATGAATAAATAGCAACAAACAAAAATAGTCCAACACCCTATATAGAAAGGAAAATGGAACATTGCGAGGAAAATCGCTTCCTCATTTGGCACTTAATACTGCGATCCTTTCATATGTATACACGTAATTATATTAATTATATTTATTTCACACAAAAAGTAACTAAAATTTTACTTTGTTGACATAAGTAGGGATTGACTTAAATATTTTTATATCACTTGTTAAAAAACATTTAGATGCAGAATTTAAGAAAAGCTTTTACAATTATTTAATTTTAAAAGAATTCCTTTATCAAATAAAGAAAGGGAAAGAATAAGTAGTTGGATCAATTAATATTATAAAAGTAATGCAAAAACACAGGAAATTCACAATATTTATAAAAATAACGCTTTTATCGATTTATATGTAATGAATAATCAAAGTTAAAATTTTATACCTACTCCTAATGTGACACTTGATAATTTTAAACAAATTTAATACGTTAGATTTATATACATTCTTAACTTGAGTAAATATATATCCGTAACAACATTTTATGAAAACAAAGTAGGGTAATATATGCAATATCAAATGAGCAATTTTGCCTAATGGGGGATTTTTCATAGTTTTTAACAATTCAAGAATTCAAGAATTTTTCTTCTAACTCTGCCATAGAAGATGTATTGAGTCTTATGATAATTTCCATATCCTTTTTCAGAAATTTTATAAGAGAGGTTGTTCATGTTGATACGTATCCCATTGAACGAGGGGTATAACTGTTCCTATTTTTAAGATTCCCTGTTTCCATTTTTTCCAGTATGTTCTTTGAGCTTTTGTAGGAATCTCATCAATAATTATATCTTTATACATAAAAATCTTCTGTGTGTGTGTTTGTCACTAAACTCCTCCTAAACGGTTGGACCGATTTCGATGAAATTCGAGAAAATTCGAGAATGGTTTAGATTCACTATTCGGTCTGATATCGCAATTAGTTAAAACGATATTAACTAAACACTTTCAAAAAATACAACTCAACATTCACCTGCATTGTTGTAACAACGCTATTGTTATAAACAAGTAATATATAAAACAATTTTAATCAATGGACTCGATTCACCTGACGTCATAGTCACATGTCATCGCCCAGCGCGGATATCAACAAATAGCCATGTGCTTCCTTCGACTGAGTATTTAGCCGCCATTTTCGGATTTGCACTTCTATCGAGCAGCAAAATGAGATACCGCAGCGCATTAAATTGTGGTAATGCAAAAGGAAAGTCTGACTGTAGGTCAAAAACCTTTTTTCGTTTCCGCTAAAGGATCCATGTTTATTAAAAAAGTGGTTGCAAAACTTGGGCAGAAAAAAATTTCAAAACGACTAAGTATTCCTCAGTATGTTCCGAACATTTTAAAGAAGCATGCTTTTTGTACCAGACTTTCACTAACAGAAGGCAATTGAAACCGAATTCAGTGCCCACAAAATTCTGTTTTTTCGAGTTACCATCTAATCAAATTTTGCAGAGAAGGAATAAATCTTCAATGTCACAGAAATTAAAAGATGTTCCAAAAGACATTTCGACTGAAATGTGTGATTACTTTTAATTATTTCGTTTTCAATATTTTTTGTTTTTATCAAATACGCCGACGATATTTCAAGTTTCAAAAAGTGATATATTTTCTGAGCATTTCGAATTCGAAGAATTTTAATTTTGCAAACGTAAAGAAACGCACAGATTAGCGTACCACTTCTGTTATCTATTCTGGATGCTCTGTAACTGGTGAGTAAGTATGCAGTTGATCACCATTGTTTTTTTTTGTCATTTTAAGATTATTTTCAATAATAACTATGGAGAAGTTCTACTTTGTAAACAACAATATTGACCTGGAGACCAACAATACTTCCGGAGTAATGTTCAGTATCTTTGCAAAAATACCTTGTAAACTTTTTTGTTTCATATTATTTAGAATATAATTAGATATACTGCATGTACTTATTTTTACATATAAAACTTCATTATAGATATAGTATTACATTTTTTCCCTATTTAACTAAAGAAAAATAGCTATAAATATGTGAAAAGTACTTATTTTCATTTTGTTAATTTTTGGCTGGTTTAAGATTAATCAGTGTGTTTGATTTCTGAATTGCATGCACATATTTCACCTTAATAACTTTTTTATAGTGAAAAATATTGATAAATACATAGAAAATGTGCATTTAAGTACCTTCTTTATTCTTACTTTACTGTTGAATTAGTGTATTTAATTGCTGAGAGAGAGAACTGTCTCATCCACATCAAATCCAAATTCTTTCTTGTACTTAAAAAACTAATGTTTGAAAAATTTTCATTTCAATTTTGTTTAATTTTATGCAAATAAAGATTAATTATGCTAATTAAGATTAGCAATAATTTTAATAGTTATTTAATCAGTATTCTAAATCTATAATATGTATTGTATTTTATAAATTATATCATGTTTAGAAAAATAACAATATGTGCATATTAATATCTTAATTTATATAATTTGTAGATAATGTCGAGTGATTATAAGGAATTGGAAACAATATCAAAGACTAGATATGATGAAAAATCAACAAGCAATGGGAACAAACTTTCCAATCCATTTGTTCAGAGAGACAACAAAACATGTATATAATGAAAAGCTATTGTTTCCAATCACTTTTGGAGACATTTATATGCACTTTGTGTAAAAAGAATGTACTTATACCAGGGGGGGAATAGACTAAAAAAATTAAATTCATTCCTGTATATTGTATAATTTAAATATGTATATAATTTTGTACAGTCAAAATTCCCTCACGAGGGGCTGCTAAGAGAGTAAATCACTGCAAAGTAGCAAGTTTAGGTAGTGATTATGAGGAGAAGCACAGACTTAATAGTGTCAATGAACCTGCTCTCTTGTACTTTTAAAGAATATTAGTTGTATGTAATTAAATTCATTAGTTTTGTAATGCTGGCCTTAGTCATGGAATTCTGTCAATGACAGATTTTTTTATAAAAGATTTTTACAAACTGCTTAGAAAGTTTATATGTACATATAAATAGATTTCTAGACATAAAATGAAATAAAAACATTTTTAAATTTTATTTAGTCATCTTCTTAAATAAGACAAAGATAAATACACTGTTAATTGCAATAAATTAAGGTTATATAATATTAATTTACGACCATTTTGAACAATACAATGACATTATTTGCATAAATTGGAATAATATGTTTTTTATTTGTAAGTATTTGAAGTATAAAGTGATTATTTGTCAAGTCTGAATATCCACTTAACAGTGGACCTTCCATTTTTGTGGTGAGTAGTCTTCTGCAATCTTGACCATTGGAAATTTAAAAAATTGCTTACTTGCCATTGTTTTGAACTAATCAGTGTTTATTTACTATTTAAACTACATATTTTTCTATTTGTAATTGTTTGAATTACATACTGTTTACTTGTAATTATTTGAATTACACACTGCTTATTTTCAGTGGTAGGATTACACAAAGGTAGGATTTAGAAAAGAGAGCTCAAGTATCTCCCATAGAACCAAATTTTTTTTAATTTTTAGCACAAATATCACACCTAGATGCTTTCCTCAACATTTTTTAGAAATATAACTTCTCCCATGAAAGTAGTGTGTGTACTCCACTGTTTATTTTTATTTATTTGAATTATACAATTCTTTGAATTGCACAAAGTTAATATGTGGTTACTTCAAGCAGTGCTTATTGTAACAATTTAAATAGCTTAGTGTTGATCTGCATAAAGTTTTTATTTGCAATTATTTGAATAGCACATTAATTCTTACTTTGTAGCCAAGATGTAGTTTGCATTATGATATCACATTTCTATGTTGAAGTTCCTTTGTTTTGAAATATTCTAATTATATCAATGCTAATTATGTTATCAATGCTAATCAATTACCCATAGATATTTTTTTGGTAAAATTAAGGATTGGTATGTCTACACAGATGTACACAATAGATTACTAGAAATTTTATTTGAAATTTTCATCGTAACAGTATTTCAAATTTTTAATTTGGTTACAATAGTTTTTCAAGAAACATTTAAATTATTAGACACTTTTCCTTACAAAGAAAACTGTTTTGGAAACAATGCCAAAATTTTTTGTTTGTTTGAGAATAAAGGTTATAGAGTGATCATTGACTATACAGAATTTCCAATTAAAAAACCTAACCGTCCTTTACAGCAACAAAGAACATTTAGTCATTACAAAAATTGTAATACTTTAAATGGTATAATAGGTATTCAGGGGCTATCTGCTTTGTATCACATTTACATTGTGGCAGAAGTTCAGACAAGGAACTTTTTCTTTAAAGTAAAAAAATGAATGAACTAAATGATGTTTTTATGGCTGATAAATTCTTAATTGAAGAAGAGTTAGACAAAATTGGTTGTAAATTAAAAAGCCCCCTTTTTTTTCAAAGATAAAATTCAATTTTATGATTCTGAAATTGTTAGTAACTGCAAATTGTCTGACAAGCGAGTTACTGTGGAAAGAGCTGTTTCAAGAATCAAACAATATAAATATTTTGATGGTGCTCTTCTATATGAAAGTTTACACAATGTTGACAGTTTATTTATTATAACATGTTTGTTGTGTTATTTTCATGACACTAACAAATGTAACACAAGAAAGCTCTTAATATAATGTTTCACTTTAACTATATACTTATTCTATGTATATATACAAACATTGAAACTAATTAATCGATAATTGAATTCCAAATATGGTAATAAATTCAGGCATTAAAATTTTCAGATTAAAATGTGTGTATAGTAAAACATAAATTTGTGTCCATATATAAAGTATAGAAGTCCTGTACATCCTTACATGATCAAAATAAAAAAAGCCATTTTTGAATCTAATTATCTTACAAAAAAATAAAAATTGCAACATATTTGTGTGGTATTTATGAACAC